TTTTCATGTAACACCCATTTGAAAAAGACTCCATCCTTCATATAAACAGATGGACAAAGGACATTTAGAAATTCTAACTTTCCCTAGAGAAGTGATAGGGCCTGCCTTTACATGTTTGCTGACATCCGGGAACTCAAGGAGGATGAGCCAGCAACCCCCCTGTGAGGAAATCTGGCTCGGGCTGAAAACAGGCGGCCTTGAACTTGCTGACCACAAAGGCGGACTGCAGGCGAGGTCCCCAAGCCCCCACCCCTGCCCGCTTGGAGGGTCCTTGGGAGGGCGATGGAGTCCAGTTCCCCACCTTCAGGAAAAACCATGTTCTGTTTTTATCACCCTGTTTCATTCTTCCCAAGGAATATAGATAGGCCAGGGTGTCTTTCTAGCCACGGTCTCTAGCCACAACACAGACAGCAAGAATCTATTCAAGAACCGAGCAGGGAGGGGTGCAACTTAGTTGCTCCAGTCATGGGGAAACAAATTTAACCCAGGTGCTGTGGGGTAACTAGAAGGAGAAGTGGAAAGATACCTGCCTCCTTGGAGAGGAGAACAGAGTCACTGGGGAGAGGGGAGAGGGGAGGCCCTCTGTAGCCACTCCAGGCTTCGTGGGCCAAGCTAAGCAAAACAAACAGGGCCCTGGAGGCTCAGGGAGGAAATGCCACAGAAGTCTTGCACAGGACCCTCCATGAGGCTGAAGAAAGGTGCCTGGACGTCTCGGCACAAAGCAAGCTGACAGTGGAGACCAGGTGCTAGGAGAGAGGCGGGTTCATCGAGGACCCATTCAAGATGGTAACAGGATGCCCAATTATCAGTTCTTTATTCCTTTAAGGAGCTTACCTAACCGAATTACATGGCATAGTGACTAACATTTTAATAGAGAATTCCATGTTATTTTAATTAATAAAATTTTACTGGGGCACCTGGGTGGCTCAGTTGGTTGAGTACCTGCCTTCGGCTCAGGTCATGATCCTGGGGTCCTGGGATCGAGTCCTGCATCCCTGCCCCCTGAGCAGGGAGCCTGTTTGTCCCTCTCTCTGACCCTCCCCCCTGCTCATGCTCTCGTTCACTCTCTCTCTCTCAAATAAGTAAATAAAAAAATCTTTAAAGAAATTTTTTTTATTAATTATATTCTTTTTCCTCTTTATTGTTTATTGTCGTAAGAACACTTAAGATGAGATCTACCCTCTTAACAAATTTTTAAATGTAGGACACAGTATTGTTAACTTTGGGTGTTCTGTTCTACAGCAGATCTCTAGACTTATCCACCTTGCATAACTGAAAGTTTGTACCCTTTGACCAATACCTCCCCATTCCCTCCTCCCCGCCCCATTCACCCCTACCCCTGGCAACCACCGTTCTACTCTCGGCTTCTAAGAGTATGACTCTTTAGAAACTTCATGTAAGTGGAATGTTTCTGCATTTGGCAAGATTTCCTTTTTCCTAAAAAAATAAAGCTGAATAATATTCCATTGAATATACATATACCACATTTTCTTTATCCATCCATCCATCAATGGGCATTTAGGTTGTTTCCATTTCTTGGCTATATGAATAATGCTGCCATGAACTGGGTGTACAAATACCTCATCAAGATCCTGATTTCAATTCCTTTGGATGGACACCCAGAAGGGAGATGGCTGGATCATATGGGAGTTCTATTTTTGACTTTTTGAGAAACCTCCATGCCGTTTCCCACATTCCCATCGACCCCGTGCAGGTGTTCAAACTTCTGTACACCTGGCTGACACTTATCTTTTACTTTTGTCGTAATAGCCATCCTAACAGGTGTGAGGGGACATCTCACTGTGGTTTTGATTTGCACTTCCCTGATGGTCAGTGATGTTGCATATCTTTTCATAAACTCTTCTCTTCCTGGGAGAAATGTCAATGCAAGTCCTTTGCCCATCTTTTAATTGGTGGGGTTTTTTGCTATTGACTTGTAGGATTTCCTTACACATTTTGTAAATTAACCTTTTAGCAGATATATGGTTTACAGATGTCTTCTCCCATTCCACGGGGTGTCTTTTATTTTGTTGTTTCCTTTACTGTGCAGGCGCTTTTTAGTTTGATGGAGTCCTACTTGTCTATGTTTGCTTTTGTTGCCTGTGCTTTTGCTGTAATTTCCAAGAAATCATTGCCAAGACCAACATCAAGAAGCTTTTCAAATGCTACGGTTTCTTTTAGAGTTTTGCAGTTTGGGGGTCTTATGTTTAAGTCTTTAGTTGAGTTGGTTTTGGGGTATGATGTTAGACAAGGGTCCAGTTTCATTCTTTTGCATGTGGGTATCCGGTTTTCACAACATTTATTAAAGTGGTGATCCTTTCCCCATTGCGTGGTCTTGGCTCTCTTGTCTAAGATCAGTTGGCTATATATGTGCAGGTTTACTTCTGCACTCTCCTGTTCCATTGATCTCTATGTCTGCCTTTATGTCAGTACTAGAGTGTTTTGACTCCTGTAGCTTTGTAATCTGTTTTGAAGTCAGGAAGTATGATGCCTCCACTTTTGTTCTTTGTCAGGACTGCTTTGGTGACTTAGGGTCTTTTGTGGTTCCATGCGAATTTTAGAATCATTTTTTCAATGTCTGTGAAAAATGCCATTGGAATTTTGATGGAGATAGCACTGAACCTACAGACTGCTTGGGGTAATACGGACATTTTAACACTATCAAGTCTTCTAATCTACAAAGATGAGATGCCTTTATATATATTTGTTTCTTCCTTCATTTCTGTCATAGACTCTTTGTACCTTTCACTATTCAGGTCTTTCACCTCCTTGTTTTAAGTTTACTTTTAAGTATTTTATTCATTTTGATGCTATTGTAAACGGGATTATTTTCTTAATTTCCTTTTCAGATAGTTGTTAGTGTATAGAAATGCAACTGGTTTTTCCACGTTCATTTTGTATCCTGCAAGTTGTCTTAATCTATTATTTCTAACAGCATTTTTGATGAAGTCTTTAGAGTTTTCTATATAAAAGATCATGCCTTCTGCAAACATAATTTCACTTCTTCCTTTGTGGTCTTGTTGGCTTTTATTGCTTTTTCTTGCCTAATTGCTATGGCTGAGACTTCCAGTACTATGCTGAATAGGAGTGAGAGAGTGGGGCCCCTTGTGTTCCAGATCTTACAGGAAAAGCTTTCAGTTCTTCACTCCTGAACATCTTAGCTGTGGGTTTGTCATATGTGGCCTTTATTACGTTAAGGTACATTATTTCTATACCTAATTTGTTGAGTTTCTAACATGAAAGGGTATTAAATTTCATCAAATGCTTTTTCTGTATCTATTGATATAATCATATGACTTTTATACTTCAATCTGTTAATGCAGTGTATCACCTTTGTTAACTTCTGTATGTGGAACCATCCTTGTATCCCAGGGATAAATCCCACTTGACCATGGGGTATGATCCAATTGATGCGCTGCTGAATTTAGTTTGCTAGTATTTTCTTGCAGATTTTTACATCTATGTTCATCAGAGACAGTGGCCTATAGTTTTCTTTTCTTGTAGTGCTTTATCTGGCTTTGGTATCATGGTAAAGCTTGCCTCATAAAATGAGTTTGGAAGTGTTCCCTTCTCTTCAATGTTTTGGAAGAGTCTGAGAAGGACTGGCATTAATTCTTTAAATGTTGGGTAGAATTCATCATTGAAGCTATCTGGTCCTGGGCTATTCTTTGTTGGGAAGTTTTAGATTGCTAATTGCTTACCATCTGTCTGTTCAGATTTTCTGTATCTTCATAATCCAGTCCTGGTAGGCTGCATGTTTCTAGGAATTTGCCCATTTCTTCAAGGTTGGTTGACATATAATTATTCATAATAGCCTCTTTTGAGCCTTTTTATTTCTGTGCTATCAGTTGTAAAGGCTCTGCTTACATTTCTGATTTTATTTACCTATGTCTCCTCTGTTCCTAGTTAATCTAGCTAAAGGCTGGTCAATTTTGTTTATCTTTTCAAAAAACCAACTCTAGTTGTGTTGAATTTTTCTACTGTCTTTTCATTCTCGATTTCATTTATTTCTGTTCTAATCTTTATTATTTTCTTCCCTCGTCTGGCTTAAGGCTTTGTGCTTTTTCTAGTTCCTGTGGTGTAAAGTTAGGTTGTTTATATTTACTGATCAAGGCAATATTATAGACCAAATGGACCTAACAGATACATAGAACATTCCACTCAGCAGCAACAGAATAACGTTTTTCTCAAGGGCACATGGAGTGTCCCTCAGATATGTCACATCTTAGGTCATGAAACAATTCTTAACCAATTTAAGGAGACTGAAATCATACCAAGTATCTTTTCCAACGACAATGGAATGAAATCAGAAATCAAAAACAGAAGGAAAACAGGGAAATTCACAAATAGAGGAAATTATAAAGCCTGCTCCTCAACAGTCAATGGGTCAAAGACATCAAATGGGAAATCAGAAAATATATTGAGTCAAAAGAAAATGAAAACAAAATAACTACCAAAATGTTTGAGATGCAGCAAAAGCAGCAGTAAGAGGGACGTTTGCAGCGGCAAACACCTATGCGAATTTCTCATCTTAACACATGAAGCCCCTAGTGTGTTTTCAGCGTGTAAGCATGTTCTACTACACCACCCAATTGGCAGTGTACCTAGATACAGGGCCCAGTTTTGAGTAGGCAAAAAAACCCCCTTTGAGGGTAGAATGTGTTAAGCTGAAGACAATAAGCAGTGAGCCTTGTGACAGTGGGATGAACTACCTGGTCTGATGCCTGAGAAACTGGAGGAATGTTAGTGATGCCCAGAAGCAAAGAAATTTCAAGGCAGAGCTGTGTTCACCTGACATAAGGGGGCACTCTACTGATTCTTCTATTTGCCCCACCGATCGGATTTTCTTCCTACCTCTTACTTACAGAAAACAACTATTGCAAAGGTAGCAATCGCTCTCTGAGGAAGAGAAGCAATTCAGGTTTTCAAGACGCCCCGGCACCACTGACACCAGGGCCAGTGACGGTCACCACGATTCCCCGGAAATCCCAGCTACTCACCAAGGTTGTACCACATGTCTCTGATTTCGAAGCCAATCTGCCTCCTCATATCTCCATACCTGAGAACCGAGGACAGGGGAAATGCTGAGTCACTCTTTTGAGCATTTGGAAATCAGACTTAGATTATTATTTTTAAGTGCAATGAAAGTCTCCCAGCACGGAGACAAACAAAGAGAGTATCAAAGCTTCTCTTGCCACCAAAGAGAACTGAAGGAGGAAGAATCCAGCAGAGGGAGCCTCACCTACCCATCACCCCATCACCCCAGATTATGTAACACTCTTCCCACCCACCCCTCCCACCCCGTGGGAACATGAGCGAGGTGGTAGAAAGTAAGGGCAGTATTTTCCTTCTTCAGTCTCTAATGGCAAGAGAAGGAGGACCTGGCTCCCTGGCCTGAGGGGGAGCTCGCTTTCAGAGCATGCTCTTAGCATCCAGCTCTGCAGACACGAAATGACATCCTCCAACCCTGCTCACAAAAGCAGCTTTCACATGTTAAAATTAAGCCCTGGAGTGGACAATCAGAGCTGGGAAGGCCTCTTTCAAATATCTCCCATACTTCTTTAGTATCTTCAATGAAAGGAAGAGCTCTGCACCAAAGGATGTCAACAAACATTCCCCTGTTTTTGTTTATCAGGGAAAATAATGTAAATTTTCCTCCCACAGGGTCAGCAGAGGAGGTGTGTGTTTCATGAGTAAACAGAATTTGATGCTTCAGAAGATAAACGTTTATTAGTTTGTGAGCAATTTAACTTTTTCCTTTATTGCCTAAGGAAAAAACTGATTATATTAAAAATAATAATTTGCACAATTATCGTACAGGATTACAGTTTAGCAGCTGGGTCATCAAGCTGCTCTGTTCGTCCTCACGTCAGCTGATGTGGAAAGGGAAGCTGTTTACAGATGATCTGGTTGTGGCTTTCAAGGCAAAGAGCCTCCTGGTAAACCAACAACCATAGCTGGCTGCCACCTTATAAAAGTCCCTAGGGCCCTAAGCACCCGTCTGTCACTTTTGGCAGGAGAGGGCTGCAGACCAACATGCTCTCCACCAGGGAAACCGGCCTGGCAACCCTGTCGCAGAGGTCACCCCGGGGCCGCTGCACCTGCATGGACCCACGGCCCCGTGTACAGACAGAGAAACTGACCTGGGAGCGTCCGCCCCTTCCTGTGAGGACAAGCTTGTCCTCGGGGGTAAACGAGTTACCTTCCAGCCCAGCCTGACAACCAGGTGAGTGCCGATGTGGGTCAAGTGGGTGAGTGAGAGAGGGGGGGTCTCGGCCAGGGAATGCACCCACCACCAGTGCCACAGTGAGGAGAGGCCTGTCCACTGTCAACAAAGCTACTGGACCAAGCCCGTGGGTGAGAGGAGAGCACCCTCCGATGTCTAAGTGGCACCCCACATCGCCCACGGTCCGTATGTATCATCAAAGCCCTCTTTAGTTGTGCACCCTTCCTGGGCTTGTTGATCCAGTTTCCCAATTCCCATTTTGCTCCCGCACAAATGACAGAGGGTCTCCAGCAGCCCGGACGGGGAGAGGATACGGCAGGCCTCCTCCCGGCATCCACCGGGGAAAAGCACCACGGAGCACACAGCCACGCTCACACCTAGTGCTGGTGCTCGCTGAGCAGGTGGATGAGTCGTCTCTCAGCAGAGTGGGTGTCTGGTGAGCCAGGGAGCTCTGTATCACAGGCAGGACCCCCCAGGGCCTGCCAGTACGTGTTCAGATCTCGGCACACAGAGCCGGCCAGAGCCCCCCCACGGAGCTGGGGCGAACTGGTCACAGCCGTTGGCCTGCCACTGACTGACTAACTCAAGTTTTAAATACTCTTTCAATAGCCAAGCCATTCCTTCTCATCCTGGAAGAATCTCTCACAAAAGAAAAATGGCTACAATGCTAGGCAGTTTCAGTCATGCCGGAGTGACCCAATGTCTGCTGACCGGCAGTGATTTGCCATTTCTCCAGAGCTGGGGTTGACACCTGGACGCCAGGAGGCCCACGTGGACAGGGAGCCTCCACCACTCCTGCCTCTCCCTGGACGTCCCCTTTCCTTACGGTGCTGACAGAGGGTGAGATGCTCATGGGTGTCGGATTCGCGTTTTCTAGTTACGCTATCCTGTCCCAGATATGGAAAATGACATGCCTTCACAGTATTTTGAGGACAGGGGTATCAGCAAAGATCCGAGAGCACATCCCTCACTAGAGTCAGGCCTGTTGTAGCAAGGGGCTAAAAATGCCATTTTCATACCCAAATAAGACAAAGGTGCTTAGGGCCAGAACAAAGGTAACAACAAGGGGAGCAAGGAGCTAGAAGGTGAGGGGCAAGACTGACTCTCTGGCAGCGAGACTGACCTTTAGTTTTAATAAGACAGCAGCTCTGCTCAATCTATACATGTCTCAGCGTAATCCCCCAATAAGGTTACAGCTATCACCAGAACTCAAGAGGGATTCCCGAACTGTTCATACCTTCTTGCTGGGGAGGAGAGGGCGGCAGTGATGGAGAGTGTCGGGGCTCATGCTCGTTACCTGGTCACAGGCTCCCAGGGCTGGTGGCAGCCTTACAGAGCAGAGCTAAGTTCAACTCTCACAACTTACACTTGAGGGAACGGAACCGGTCCTAGAGGGAGAAGCCAAAGGACTCGGCCAAGTCACAGGCAAGGAGAGAAGAAAGAGAACCCAAGTCTTCAGACCCCAAGGCCCATGCCCTGCCCCAAGGCACATGCCTCAGGGCCTGGCAAGTCCGGATCTCCCCGACGGCACAGCGCCGTGTCACATCTCTCAAAGGGCACTGGTCTCATCTGACTCTGGCAACAAGACCACCGGGTGAGCAGAGAGAAGCTGTCGTGGCCCTCTCTCCACTGAGGATGCAGAGTCCCGGTGGTGAACCGCCGTGCCTGACCCCACAAAGCTATAGCAGCAGGGAGCTGGAGTCACCTGGCGTTTCCCATCACACCCCGCCCACCGTGCCCACACACAAGTCAGAGAGCACCTGCAAAATAGGGGCCAAGGGGGCCTCAAGGAGGCAAGCTTCCCATAGCCCAAGTGAATATAGGATCCCACATCCAGGTCTATAACTCTGAGCTAAAATAGCATGAATCTGGTCTCCAGGGCCTATCTCAGCACCTGGTTTCGTGAATCTTCACCCAAGAAGCAGAAAACCCATGTCCACCAGAGATAACCCAGGCTTGGGGATAAGGCTTGACCTGAGCCCAAATCTAAGCACTCTGGGCAAGTCACCTGGCCACTCTGACCCTCAGTCTCCTCATATGTAGTACTGGGATAATGATGTATGATGTTCATCTCCCAGGAGTTTTTGAAAATGAGAGAGATGATGTCCTTGTATGTCCTAGTGAGCACTCGAGCCAGGCTAGGTGCTTCCTTTAAAGCTCACACTAGGCCTCATCGCAGCAACCCATGGTTACGATGGTCATTTACATTGATTCATTCAGGGAACATTACTCACTGATTCGTTAATTACTGAATACTCACTAGAGGCCAGGCTCAGAGCTAATATGGAAATATTAATATAACATGGAGAACAAAGTCCACAGACCTTGGGGGGCTATTAGCATGGTAGCAGAGATGGACATTAAACAAATAATCACACTAGATCAACACATATGTACATACAACAGTTCTATGAAGGCTGTGATCATGGCCCTTTAGGAAAAACAGAGGAGTGAGCGTTGAACAGTGGGCCTAGGCTGGCCATGGCAATTCTCTGGGACAATAATTTACCCTCAGATTTGAAGAAGGAAAGACGTAATCCAGGCAGAAGGGAAGGAAGAGCATTCCAGGCAGATGGACCAGCAGGTGCAAAGGTCCCGAGGCAGGGAGTGGGTAGGTAAGGATATGGACCAAAAGAGGACGTGTGGCAGGAGGACAGAGAGCCTGCTCCTTCCTCTTAAGAGACCAAGGGGGATGCAGTGTGAACAAAGGCCACAGAGGCAGCTTTTTAAAGTTTAAGTTTCAAAATGCTTTTGAAATAAGAAATACATTTTACTTTACTAACCAGCACACATATAAATATCTGTGTACAACTGTTTTATGAAATAACACTTAACCTCACTACCTTCAGTAAATTCTGATGCTTTCTTATATTCTATTTCACTGAAAAAAAAAAAAAAAAGTGGG